CACATGTACAAGTTGTACCACTCGTCTTCTAGTTGGTGGAATGAATAGTGAGTTGCTTTCATCACTTGGTTGGTGGTACGAATGTGAGTTCTTTCATCACCTTTCATCACATTTCATCACTTGGTTGGCAGCACGAAGATGAGTTCCTTTCTTTACCTAGTTGGTGATAAGAGTTGCAAGTTGCCAAATAATATTAGAGTACAGGTTGTACATTTCATCACCTGGTTGGTGGCACGAAGATGAGTTCCTTCTTCACCTGGTTGGTGATAAGAATGGCAAGTTGCCAAATAATATTAGAATACGGGTTGTACATTTCATCACCTGGTTGGTAGCAAGAAGGAGAGTACAGGTTGTACATTTCATCACCTGGTTGGTGGCATGAAGATGAGTTCCTTCTTCACCTAGTTGGTGATAAGAATGGCAAGTTGCCAAATAATATTAGAGTACGGGTTGTACATTTCATCACCTGGTTGGTGGCATGAAGGAGAGTACGGGTTGTACATTTCATCACCTAGTTGATGGCAAGTTGCCAAATAATATTTATGTATGAATATGTTGGAATGTATGATGTTTATATTGATTGATATGAGTGATGCTTATGAATGTTTTTCTATGCATGACGGAATCCATGCTTTCGATATGTGAACCATGTTGGTTGTAACACTTAGTATCACTTACTTTGTGTCAAAGTATGCATGTTGGAGCTCTGAGTTGGAGTATAGAGGTAGGTCAGCGTAGACCAAGTGTTCGAATGCTAGGAATGCAAAAGACTCAGAAGAAGTTGTATGAATTCTCTATTCTTTAAATATTTGCCGAATGGCTTGTGTGACAAAAAGATCTCAAGCGGTTGAGGGTCAAAACATTTGTAATGTGTATGCCTTCTTATAATATCATTTCCTTTAATACCTAGTCCTCCACTTTGAAAGAGTGAGGCTTGGCCCCATAGTCATAATAGTCGACGATACGTTCACCCCTAGTTATCTTGATACAAACTTTTATCCCTCATGTTGTAATGAGTTTGCTAAGAGTAAAAATCATTCCCCTTACCAAGAGACGAATACGTTTGGTGACTTAGCGAGTAGCTAAATGAGGCAGGAGAAGATGCAATGGGTGTCTGAATGGCCAAGATCTCCTCACTTGGTAGAAACGAGTAGCTAAATGAGGTAAGAGAGTATGCAATGGGTGTCTGAATGGCCAAGATCTCCTCACTTGGTAGAACTTAACTTCCACTTTCCACTTATTGATAGGGGTTAATCATATGGAGGTTCACTTGGTATGTCTTTACCTCGGTAAATGCATGATTGTAAGCTTGCATCATTACCTCAAAGTAAGTCTTCTAAGTGTTAGCATTCATCATGTACTTGAAGAAGCATTCATGCATGCCTACCGTGAAGGCCTTGAGTGCTGTTTTATCATCTGCCTCAGCACAACGAGAGTACTTATTAGCATAAACGATCGGCATATTCGCGCAATGACTCATTTGATTTATGACGAATAGTGTATAGCTCATCAGCGGAGTGTACACGATCAACTTGAAAGATGTGTTGAGCCACGAAAAGTCTCCTTAGCTCAGCGAAGGAATCCACAGTATTAGGTCGAAGACGACAATACCAATTGAGAGCTCCACTAGAGAAAGTTGAAGGGCATATGAGACATCGTTCTTTATCATTGTGTCTTCGGTATGCCATGGTAAATTCAAAGAGGTATATATGCTCAATCAGATCTTCCCTCATAGTATAAGATTGCAAGCCAAGCTTCTATTTCGTTTCTCCTTGTAGAAGGGTGCCAAGGATTCTCTTTGTCAGAAGGTCGGGCCTTGGTTGATCCCAGCCAGGGATTTGGGCATGACGATCGGCCTTTAGCATTTTCACCTCTTTATGTATGATAAGAGGGTCCTGAGTGGAGTCAGGCATCATTAGAACTCTTATTTGCAAGTTTTCCTCATCCCTTTGAAGTATGGAAGTTTGGTCAAAGGCATGTGGCTTTTTCTTAGATTCATCGTACTTACTTTCGAGACATGCCGTTTAGAAGTCCTAGAGTCTCCTTCACCTTTTTGTCCCTCCAAGGCATGTGGTTCCTTTCTTGGATTAGGCGTTGGCCTACGTTGTGGTAGAGGATCGAACCCTTCAATGACTCTTAGGTCTTTGACCCTTGAGCCTATGTGGATAGAATTTTCTCGACGCTGTCTTAGGAAGTCTTGACAGTCACGGTAAACGGCTCTTGATCTTTCCATTCCTTCTACAAGAAGGTGCCTTCCTCCACTTCTCCTACTTCAGGTCGAAGCAGCTGGGTTAAGAGAAGTCGCATGTTGATCGACATTTCGATGAGTAGCTCGCTCCTCGTCAGGAATACCCATGTTGAAGGCAGGTGACCCTCTGTGTTGAGGGGCACCCAGTTGATAGTTGATTTCCACAGGGGTGATGAGCTCGTGTGTTTAAGTATGCCTAGCCTCATGGAGCGTCTCGAAGAGTTTCTCATACTGCTTCTGAAGGACCTTATTCTTCATTGCTATCTTGTTGTTCTGAGCCTCTAGCTCTACAACTTTAGCTTGAAGAGCGAACTTCTTTCGTTCCTTCTTTCGCTGCCTCACACTAGGCTCAATGAAGGTGTCGTTCTGTGTGATGTGGCTTCATTCGCTCCCCATGTTGGAGAGTGATGCCTGGTCAAAAGAGAGTGTACCAATGGTGGAAACCAGCTTGACAAAGCTAAAGAGAGTAGGAATAAGTGCGATTCCCACAGACGACGCCAAATGTTGATGCACAAAATCAATGAGGACTTTGGTACAACAGAAAGTGTCAAGTTTGTGACCTTAGCTAGATTGCTCCGGTCGCTAGTGTGGATAAGTATGTAAATGGACAGAGACAGGGAAGCAAACACAAGATGTACGTGGTTCACCCAGATTGGCTACGTCCACGAAGTAGAGGAATTCTCATTAATTGTGAAAGGTTTACACAAGTATATAGGTTCAAGCTCTCCTTTAGTGAGTTCTAGTGAATGATTCAGTACCAACGACATTAGGAAATATTGTGAGAGAATGATCTCCTTTTATAAAAGAAATGATCTAGCTTTGTTCCGACTTTGACACGTGTCGTGCCATGATTGGCCTCTGATGTTGACACGTGTCGTGTTGTGATTGGCCTCCTGGTTGGAGGGAAACTCTCCTGGGTCCTTGACGGTATAACGTTGACCAGTGCTCAGTAGTTTCGGGATTTGTCAAGTATGGTACAAACACAATTCTTTGTTCTTTATTTTTACGATATAGCAGTTGAGAGTTAGGGAAGTGAGAATCAAAGAGTGGCTACTAAAATTAGGAAGACAAATTGTCTATTTTACTTGCCTGATTTCATCAAAGAATAAAATTTGATGAATTATCTAATTAACAAAAAAAAAATATAATATATGTCGTCTCCCGCAATATTCAAACATCTAGATACATCAAATGAACTTATTTTGTCGTGACTAGTAGCATTTTTTATACTCATGTATACATATGGTACAATTCCTCCTAGCAATTGTATAAAATAAAGTCTATTTCATATTTTTACCGTGACTAGTCATGCAAATCTGCTTCTAACTTTGAAACAGATGAAGACATGGATAAGAAGATTAGCGATATTCCGGGGATGGAAGGCCTTTTTCGGCACCGAGACCTACCAAGCTTTTACAGATTGCCAATTGACCACCCATCTACTAAATTTTTCATGGAAGAGACCAAAGCTATTACTCGTGCTTCTGCTTTAATAATCAACACCTTCGACGGCCTCGAAGCCTCAATTATTCCCACATATCCACACTTTTCCCCAAAGTTTACACAATAGGCCCTGTCCACGCTCTTGTCAAATCTCGCGTTGGCGATGTCCTGTCATCCTCTGCCTCTTTGCGCCAAGAAGGCCGTCGTTGCATTGCGTGGCTAGACTCTAAACAAGTGGGATCTATTATATATGTTAACTTTGGCAGCTTAGTGAAGTTAAGACCTGACCAATTATTTGAATTTTGGCACGGCTTGGTCAATTGCGATACACAATTTATATGGGTGGTGTGGTCAGATATGCTTTGGGGGGAGCAAGGAGAGCATGTGATTCCGACGGAGCTAGAGATGGGTACCAAAGAGAGGGGCTTTATAGTGGAGTGGGCCCCATAAGAAGAGGTCCTAGCCAATGTATAAAATATCAATGATATCAGTAGTCCAAAAACACGAAAATATCGATGAAAATATCGGGATATTATCGATATCGATAAAAATTGAATAAAAACCACGGAAATTGTAAGAAAAACTTGGAAATTTTTATTGAAACTTTACAGGATGTTTATTTAGTCAATTATCTATTAGTTTATCACAAAAAATTGGAAGGAAATGCATTTATGATGGATTTAACTGATTTAAGTTGATTATATAGCGAGTTGGCAAACATTGTGAGTGTAGAAAATATGTAGTAATTAATGAAAGAAGTTTAAACACACCATAATCATTTATATATAATGAATTGGTACAATATTTTACATTTTATACATTACATGGTAAGATACATGAATTAGGACACAGTTGCCCATATGTATTGGATTAATAAACTAATTTTAATTTTTGTTGTTAACGCAGGAAACAAGTTAAGGAAGCAAACAGATAAATAAAAAAGAGACTGGGCAGGTAAAAGATGAGAAAAAGTAGAGTAAAAAGAAGTGGGAATATTCGTCAAACGAGACACACAAACCCAAAGGCGCATTCATTTCACAAAATTGTCGTCTTCCAAAACGCACGAAAATAGGTCCCCCACTCCCCACCCTCTATATCCACCCCCACCTTCCTCCTCCCTCCGCATTACCCACCCCCATCTCTCCACACACCCTCACAGCTCATACAATTTGGGCTCTGGGTTTTCCGATTACCCACCAAATCTTCCCAAAATTACTTTAAAACCTCTGATTGTAAGCGATCAATAGGAAGATTCAGACTAGTAGGTTGTAATCGTTCGATGAAGAGAGCATCATCGGGGGACTATTCGATGGCGACGGCGAGTTTGGCGGATGTGAAGATGGAGGAAGAGGAGGAGATGGTGGTTGACTGCATTGACCAGGATGAACTGAAAGGGGCGGGGTTTTCAAATCTAAACAATAATCTGATCTTCGAGGTGTTCAAGCACGTGGACGCGCGGACGTTGGGGATGGCGTCGTGCATGAGCAAGTAGTGGCACACGATGGTGGAGGACGAGCGGCTCTGGGAGCTGATATGCACCAGGCAATAGGCCAACATCGGTTGCGGCAACCAGCAGCTGAGATTTGTGGTCCTCGGCTTGGCGGATTCCGACGGCTCCACTCCCTCTCCATCTGGCCGTTCAGTAAGCCCTCATCCACCTCTTCCAGCTCTACTTCTTCTTCTTCCTCGTCGGGCGCGTCCTCCTTACGATAATATCGTGATATTTAGACGATATTTCAATGGATACGTGTGAAAATATCGATGTCTCACAAAAATGATATTATCGGCGAAATATCGCCGATAATATCTAAATTTAAGACATTGGTCCTGGCTCACAAAGCTGTGGGAGGGTTTTTAACCCAATGTGGGTGGAACTTCATCCTTGAGGGCATTTGGGCGAGAGTGCAGATGCTTTGTTGGCCTCAGCTGGCAGAACAACAGGTTACTAGTATATGGATTGGTGAGGTTTGGAGGATTGGAATTGATATGAAGGATACGTGTGAGAGATCCATAGTGGAGGAGATGATAAGGAGATTGATGGAAGAAGGTGATGAAAGAAAGGAAATTTTGAGGTCGGTGGAAAGATTTTCGAAGTTAGCCAGGGTTGCTATTAGTGAAAGTGGGTCTTCATACGACAACCTGGACAAACTTATTCAAGACTTGAGAAACTTGTGATGAATTGCTAGAATGAAAGGACTTTTATAGAACGAGTTTGATGCTTTAGCTTTGTAAACTTATTCAAGACAACCCTCTCATTTTCTTCTTTCCAATCTTAAATTCTTCATAAGTATCTCATATGGTAATGAAATCATGCAAAGTTATAGGCTATGAGTTTGTATTGAAGCCCTCTTTCTTCTAAGCCCTCTTTCTTCTAATACAAAACCCACACGTTGAAACTCAATGTTCAGAGAGATTGAGCTCTCCAAAGGAAACACTTTTTCCGGTGAATATGCCAATTTTCAATTGAATGTGACGAAATTGGTTCTCGACCCAAGACAGAAGTTTAATCCTCTCTTCTTGGGTTTCCTTTCCATGTAAGTGCTTCCTTAAAGATTTGGTTCTAGAAATTGTAACAGTGTTCAGTTCTAGAAATAGTGGTAGTGTGCAGCTTTAGAAATAATGATAGTTCTATTCTAGGAATAGTGTAGTGTTCAGCTCTAGAAATAGTTACAATGTCCATTTCTAAAAATAGTGGCAGTGTTACGCCCTGATCCCAAGATATGTCTAGGATTGACATGTGACGTCACTAAGTAACTATTCATCTATCATGACCAGCCTCCGATACATGACCAAAACAAGTCAATAATCCAAACAACGCAATGATTTTCCCTTATATTATGGATGCATCTAATCTCTATGTTAGACTGTTTACGTACCCTAAGGTAGGATCAAACCATTCGTAGTTCACCCTTTTGTTAAACTCCGACATTTCTCGTAGTACTTCTTAGCAGAAGAAACTCATATAATAGTTCCATAATTACTCAAGGAACTCATCGAGCATGATTTACTAGCTTCCGAACTATAAAACGATAACATATGACCACTAGGATTGTCATTCCTTCAATCACATATATCACACCGTTTTCTAGTACAATATTGCACTCAATAACATATAAGATTTCAAAGAACCAACAATGCACAATATTATTCTTTAACCAATTTGATTGTAATAATAACATTCATATCCATACTTTACAAAATTATAAACAATTTGATCAGCACTTCTAAATCAACCACAAAGCTTCTCGAATCTTTTGTTTATAAGTATGTTGAAAAAAGTAAGGCTAAAGCGTCATAGTTCGGCCAAAGCCTACAACTTTTATGTTTATGTAATATATGCCGATTCAAAAGAAACCGTAAAGATTTTTAGGGATCTAGTTTCATATCACTCAATGGTATCGAGCAAAATACAATTCCAGATCATTATATGGAACTGAGGCAATGCGGGGTATCCAGACCACTCAACGAAACCCCAAATAGAATACAATTCCAGAATATTCAACGGAGTCAAGATGGAGTGGAGTATCCAGACCACTAAATGGAATCCCACTCTAAAATGTGTATGGTTCCCCAATGCGAATTAAGCAGGCTGAACCATAGACATCCAATAATGTGGTTCCCTAATGCGGATTTACCAGACGGAACTACCAATAGAAATACAATAATTAAATAGGCAATGACCCCCTAATGAGGATTAACCAAGCATAGTCACCCCTATAATGTGTATGGCCCTATAATGAGGATTAACCAAGTTGAACCATATGCATGGTCAATAGTGGGGTTCCCAGTAGGACCACACCATGGAAACTGAGTAATCAAATACGCAATGACCCCCTAATGCATATTAACCCAGCAGAATCACCCTTATAATGTGTATGGTCCCCTAATGCGGATTAATCAAGCAGAACCACCTATGAAAACCTAGTAATCAAATAGGTAGTGACCTCTAATACGGATTAATCAAGTAGAATCACCCCTATAATGCGTATGGTCCCCTAATGTGGATTAACCAAGCAGGACCATCCATGTACCACTGCTACATGGTACAATCGCATTATCACACAACCTATCTCCTATGTCAACGCCTATGATTTACAACTTAAGCACATACACTATCAATTTCTCACGAGTCACGACAACTAACTATCTTGTCATACAAGCATACAAGTTCTACAAAATACTGCTAATAGGATTCCAGGCCCACATTTTCATACTAGTAACCATACATATCATTTGTATCATTTAAAAGTTCAATAAACATGTATATCACAATAAGGTGCCACTTGCACGTATATCAAGACACATATCAACCAGAAAACCACGTCATTATGATGAGACAACTAAGCTCCATGAAGCCTTAACAACATTCTAAAAATAAACGACATGCTAGAATAATTCAAGGCACGTTGACTAAAAAGTCAACTATCGATCGAAGGTCAACAGTAGGGTCCCCAACCCTAATAATCCAGTTCGAAAGATTTGCCTACCAAATTTTTAATTTGTAACTTCCTAAGAGTCTCAATGTATTTCTAAAACAACATATTAAAATTTCGTGATAATCTGATGTTCAGATTCCAATCGCAAATTTCAGTGGAAGTTAACTATCAGTTTTACAAACTTAGAAATTTAATCTGGAAAGTTCCGTATGTCAGGTTTCTAATCCGTAAGTTTTGAAGGTCCTCAAATAATGCATATAATCACATATTATAAATTGGTGACGATCCAACGGTCAGATCATCTACGATTTTACAAATGTCAAGAATCTAAGATTCTTCAATCCGAAAGATTCGTACATTGGATTTTCGGTTCATCAATTCCTAAGATTCTCGAATATTATGTCTAACAACATATTACAATTTAGTGATAATCCAACAGTTGGATGTTCGCCTACTACAAAGGTTTACTGGCGAACTTTAACGAAATTAAGCTCAATCAATCAAATTATATCCAACGGATGTGAAAAATGGGCTTAGGGCATCAAAATTGGTCAAAGTAGGTAAAATGGGTTGTTAGGCCCATGCACTGCCGCCAGGCGCCAACGGTGTACCCCGTCACGAACTCGTTGAAGCTCTATTGTCCAATCTGAAGCTCAGTTTTGTTCATGGGGCCAAGGGCTGTCAAGTGGTGATGATGATCGTCGATGCTGCAAAAGAGAATAAGATATCACCGTCGGGAAGTCTCGGGAAGACCGAGCTTTGTTTCGTCATAAACAGTGGCCAAACGCGGTCAATCATGCATGGAAAATGCTCAGGGAAGGAGGGGAATGATTTCCAGGTGGTGGCTAAGACTGTTGCGGTCTAATTTTGCCAAAATCGGCGTCGGAAAAGCGCGTAGAAACCGGGTCTAATTCTGGGTCACACACGGATCTTATGGTGGAATCCGGGTTGGCCTCTAATTGGTTATCCCTCCTCCTTTTCTAGCTTTTCTAGAGTCCCTATACATAAAAATGCGCAAATGACTAATTTGCCCCTGCCATTGTAATCTTATAATAACTCATTCGTTATAACTTCAAGTTTTTGCTTACGCGCTCGTGGGATCAAGCTCTAATTTAATGAAAATAAAATATTTTCGCGTTAATACGAAATACGTAAAATTAAATAATGAAATCTGGGGACGAGATTTCACTAGCAATGTTCAGTTCTATAACTAATAACAGTGTTCAGTCGTGGAATTAGTTGTAGTGTTCAGTCCTAGAAATAGTGGCAATGTGTAGTTCTACAAATAGTTTTCGTGACAATATTCAGTTCTAGAAATAGTTATAGTGTTCAGTTCTAGAAGTAGTTGGAGTGTTCAGTTCTACAAATAGTGGCAATGTGCAATTCTAGAAATAATAACAGTGGCCACTTATAGAAATAGTTACAGTGTCAATATTCAGTTCTAGAAATAGTTGTAGCATCAGTATTCAATTTTAGAAAAAGTTGCAGTGTTAATATTCAGTTTTACAAATAGTTGTAATGTTTAATTCTAAAAATAATGACAGTCTCATTTCTAAAAATAGTTGCAATAGTTTGGAAAAGCCTTTTTCATTAAAGTTGTGTTCTTTTTAGTAAATAAAGTTATTACAGTGCTTTTGGTCAAGAAAAAAAATTTAGAAAAACTTTTTTCATTAAAGCTTTTGTTCTTTTCATTAAATAAAGGTATTAGGATGTTTTTAGTTTAATAAAAAAAAAGTTTGAATAAATGCTTTTTATTAAAGCTCTATTCTTAAACCGTAGATTTTGTTGGATTTTGTGGTTTTGGATAAGCATGTGTTTTGATAAAAGGTTGCCAAATTTATTATATAGTGCTACTGGGAAGAGATTCCCTCTAGATCTCGCCCACCAAAGCCACATAATTAATTAATCCGGACCCTTGAAATTTAATTCAACGGCTAAAATTATTATAACTTTTAAAGGAGCTTCTTATTTGTAACCGTTGGATCAAATTTTAAGGTCCGAATTAATTGATTATGTGGCTTTGGTAGGAGAAATCCGGAGGGGGTATCTTCCAAGCACTAACCTTACCCCTTTGTCTTATTTCTACCTCCACTATTTATTAAAAAATATAATTCCCAATTTATCCTCACGTAAAATGTCATATAAGGCCTGATGGAAAACAAAATTAGATCGTTCACTTTCGCCCACACTGCCAGCAACTCGTAATCTCAATTCCCATACATCTTGTCTTCATTTTATTCCTTCTAAATTTTAATTTATGTTTATTGGATCCTGAATTATTGAATCTATGATTGAATCGCAAATTGATCTTGTTGTATTCATCCAGCTCGTCGTAATACAAATCCAAACGCACTGAAAGCATCAAACCGGATATGGATGTGTAGACATTGAAATTTCAGGAATTCCCGTGTTTACAGGATGTCATCGGAGTTTCTTTCTCTACCAATGTCACTTCTAATTCCTTCAGCTTTGGTTCTATGATTGGTTGAATGACTAACTCTTCATTTTATTGCTGCATCACCTCCGTGGTCAGCTTTGGGGATAGTCGGGATGGTGGTAAAAGTGCAAAAGGGTGGTCACTGTTTTGCTTCCTTATAACCATTTTTCTTATATTTTTTTTCTTTTTGAGTTGAATATTCAATTATTATTTAAATAATTGAAAATAGATGGGAGAACAGGATAAAGAAGCAATATGGTAGTCGAATTATGTGCTTCTCATCGGTCATTAATGTCTATGGGAAGGGGGAGGTTATGATGGTGAATAGTGTCGAGTGTGGCGATTGGAAGGGTACTTTGGGGATAATGGTGGGTGGGAAGATAGTAGAGTATTTTTCTTATTTTTTATGGTGGGTGGGATTATAACGTGAGTGTAGAAATAAAACAATGAGATAGGCACTGACGGAGGCACATGAGAACTAGAGTAGTCCTAAGCCCTAGTTTGGGAGTGAGGTGCTTACAAAAAAAGCACCCATGAAAAAAAGCTGTGAGGGTTTTAGGTGTTTGGTAAACTGAAAAAAAATGGCTTATTTTGGAAGCTGCTGTGAGAATAAGCTGAAATCAAAGGAAAAAGCTGAAGCTGCTATTTGCAGTTTTGGAAAACTGGCTTTTTTTCAAAGCACATCGAGCTACAATGCTCCTTTAATGAAAAGACTCACTATCAGACTGCATTTTTTTCCAAAAGCACTTTTACAAAAAAGTTTACCAAACACTCTGCTGCTTTATTTCACGGCCGCTTATTCTCACAGCACAGCCGCTTATTCTCGCAGCAGCTTTTTTTCAAAGCATAGCAATACCAAACCAGCCCTAAGCCTATCCTGATTTGAAAAAACAAGATTAGTATTACACTGTATTTATTGCTTTGCAACTCTTCTATACGCTTAACACAAATCCAATCATTTATCTATCTTTTCATCCAAATCTCTTCCCAAAATTAAGTATAATATTTTCAAATGGTCATTTATCACAAATCAATGACATTAAATTAAAACCTATCATTCACTTTTAATTAAAAAACCATCTTTCACTCATGCGAGCTATTCCCTTATTCTTCTTGAATTTCATATATTTAGACATTCCTAATCCCAAATTTATTGAATAAAGAACAATAAGGTTTGTGAAACTCTATTATTCTCTATATAATAGTTGTTTCTATTCTATCCTACCTCTTACTTTTATAGGTGTCCTCATAAGAAATCCTCGCTTCTCCACTGGAGGTGGGCCTAGTAACACTCTTATAATAATACAAAGGAAAATTAATGAAAAGTGCTTGAAAACTTTGAGTTTTAACGATAAGGACAAAATAAAGGGAAAACTGAATAGTACCAGGTTTGACTTTTTAGTGTTAAAATGTGGTTTTTCGTTAAAATGAACAGTACCGTAGACTTTCGTTAAAATTCCCATAATACAATCTAGGGGTATAATGACGTCACAAACAAATCCTTAGACTCTCCCGAAAAAATAAATAATTAACAGAGTGAATTAACATAGTTGAGAATTTGAGATGGAGATAGACCAACAAGATCAACAACCACACATACTATTGTTGCCGTTACCGTTACGAAGCCATGTCATTCCGTTGCTTAGCTTGGCATAGTTACTGTGTCACGTTGGCATCCACGTTACCTTCCTCAACACCGACCACATTCATCGTCGCCTCCACCAACGCCACGTTCTCTCTGCCCACTTCCCAGCCCTTCGCTTCGAGTCAATCCTTGACGGCCTCCCACCGGATTATCCACGCATCGTTCCTCCCAAAATCAACCTCGTCTCGTCACTCAGATTCGTAACGAAGCCGCTTCTTCGTGACCTCCTAATCTCCCTAACCAAAAAGGATGACAAGTCGTATGACTCTACTCGCCCTCCTTCGAATTGTGTGATAACATATGGGTGTATGCGTTTCACAATTGACGTGGCGGAAGAGTTGGGGATTCCCGTAATGGCTATGCCAATCCTCAGCGCTTGTGGCTTCTGGTCTACTTCATGCATCCTCGACCTCATTCAACAAGGCCAGCTTCACTTTGGAGGTGAGCACTAACAGGCATGCAGGCATAGTTATGTGTCCATTGATTTGGCAATAAATATTGAAAGCAAAAAAAATCTTACTATTCACATAATCATATTACTGTTTGAAATGTTTTCATTTGATTCATTGCTGGGCCAGTTTTTAATAATAAAATTTCAATGAAGCATTCAACATTTTGTCCGTTTCATCAGGAGGGCTCAATAAGAGAAATTTCAGCACAAGAAATTGACCAAAGTGAAAGAGGAAAATGGTTTTATTGGCCTTATTTAAAAGACAAATTGTTTATTCACCTATGTTAGAGAGTGGAATATGTCCATCACCATATGCTCAAATATGAAATTATATATTGACCTACACCAAATTTACGTATTAAGAAAATGTCCAAATTATTCAGTCAATAATTTTGCTTGTCCTTGAGACTTCTGGTTGTAGTTTATTTTCTTCGAATAAAAGAAAAGAAAACTAACAAAAATTTTAGTTTTAATAAAAATGACAAAATAAAGGTGTAAGTAAATAGTACCAAGAGTGATTTTTCAAGGTAAAAATGTCATTTTCATTAAAAAATGAACAGTACGAAAGTGTTTCGTTAAGATTCCCATAAAAAAAATATTAAAAAAAAGCTTAAAAAAAAGTATACAATAGCTTTACATAATAGCACCAACACAACCGGATCACTAACTGGTCCATTTTATATCAACACGATCCCGTTAAGGCTCAACTTAAACGGTAAATTTTGTACTTTTTAGTATTGTGAACACCTTGTGCATGGTTTCCTTTAGGTTATATAGTACTCGTGTTGTACCTGTATTCCAACTCATAAGTCATACACATGCACAAAAAGAAAAAGAAAACAAATAAAGCTCATGTTAATTACTTTGCTCAACAGGTGAAGATATGGATCAGAAGGTTATTGGGGTTCCGGGGATGGAAGCTCATTTGCGACGCAGAGATTTACCAAGTGTCTGCAGAGTGCCACAATTATACGACCACCCGATTTTCAAATTCTTCGTGGAAGAGACCCAATCCATTACTCGAGTATCTGCTCTCATAAACACCTTTGACGACCTAGAACCCTCTATACTCTCCCACATCGCCACGATCGGACCTCTCCACGCTCTCCTCAAATCTCGTGTCGAGGTCGACCTATCATCTTTGGCTGCCACTTTGTGCCAAGAAGATCGTCGTTGCATGGAGTGGCTCGACTCCCGATGGCCGAGATCGGTTATTTTTGCCAGCTTCAGCAGCATGGTGAAGCTAACACATGAACAATTGTTAGAATTTTGGCATGGTTTGGTCAACAGTGGCAAGCAATTTCTGTGGGCGGTGCGATCAGATATGCTTCATGGTGTGAGCGAGAGCTTGTTATTCCAACAGAGCTTGAGGCAGCTACAAAAGAAAGAGGGTTCATAGTGGAATGGGTCCCCCAAGAAGAGGTATTGGGCCTACTGGCCCACAAAGTCGTGGGAGGGTTTTCGACCCACCGTGGGCTCAACTCGACTCTTGAAGGAATTTGGGCGGGAGTCTCAATGCTTTGTTGGCCGCAACCGGAGGACCAGCCGGTGATTAGTAGATACTAAAAATTATTGCCCGCACGTTGTTGCGGAATTAAAAAATGTAAAAAGCATTATGTTTGAACGATATAAAAAATTATGTTTGAAAGATATAAAAAATTGTCATAAAAGATTAATACAATTCATTGCTATATTTAATTGATACTCCACATAAAATTGTAGAAGTTTTGGCTATCTATGCACATAGAATATTAGATCAACACATTCCACTTGGGTAGTTTTTGTGATTTTCGATCAACAGCAGTACTTACATACAAAAGGTTATGGAACTTTGGACTATTTACATGCAAAAAACGTTAAGAAATATTGTGTCATCTACATTGATAAAATATGAAAAAAATTGTTCAATGGAACACCAAAAGTTCCCTCCAGTACTCTTGATTGTCAAAAAAGTAGTTTCAACCAATATAAGACCAAAAACTCTTCCAAATTCCATGTGTATTCAGTTTCTCTAAATCAACCAACTTCTCCGTTCCAAACTATCCAACAAATATTTGACAGCAATACAACCAACCACCAACAAACATTTTAAACTCATCGAAAGATCAAAACCCTTTCAAATTTGCATGCATATTAGTGATTTTCAACTAAATTATTTGGAGATGGAGACACACAAAGCTAGCATAGGAACCAAAGAAGATCTGCAAAAGCAAGTTAAGAGATCATCGTATTACAGAAACAAATTACATAATAAAATTAAGAGAGCATCATATTACAAAAGCATAATAATGTTCATTTCCAAATGTATTACAAAAACCTATGGTTTCAATCCACTTCACATAATTCACAGTTTTTTTTTTTTCAACCCACAAAATTTACGGCTTAGGTCAAAGAATTTGATCTGATTATTAATATTCAGACGGAAAAGATAAGACTCAAATGAAATGGGCATTTGAAGTCACTTTCTTATTTCTTATAACCACATCAATATCATATTTATACAAACATAGCAAAAAAGATTAGCAAGTGCAAGCACATATCTTGTGATAGTATACAAAAATGACTAAACCCGAAATTCCTAACACATACACTAATCTTATACAAAGAAATTAGAATATCAAAATCCCAACAAAACATGAGGCACAATGATCACAATTAGAAAAATATTTCAAATAAGAGCCAAACCAAAAATGCACATAAAGGTAAGTTATCAACTCAAATAAAACTCACTCTGATGCTCATTTCTAATTATGAATGCTCTCGGGACTCCAATCTTCTCATCCCAATCGAAAAGAACTTCAAATGCAGACTCCTCTGCAGTTTAGAGGGTGATTGTTGTAACCCAATTTTCCAATTATGTTGCCCTTCCAACTTTTTCTTGCAACCAAGTTTCTAAAAAAACAGATTGAATTCAAAAGGTAATTGGACCAAGGCATAAAAAGACATAAGAAAAAGTATAGAAAGTATAAACCACATATATCACATATTATACTACTTTGTATTCCAAATACACATAAGAATATATCCATTCTAGTGAATGGCCTAATTCCAATTAATCTCACCTTTACTTTCTCTCAAACCCGTCAACTTATCTTTGACTTTGTTTTTCAACGACATCATATTTAAGAGTTAGCTTCCATCAAACCTTCACCTAGTCCCACCCTTACTTTCCTCTCTAACCCTTTATTATCCCACTTTTACCCTCTCAAACCCCTCAACTTACCCTGGACTTTGTTTCTGCAGCTTAGTTTCATTTAAAAGCTCATCATTAGTTTCAGTCTTAAATAATCAACGCAAGAGAACTCAGGAAATCATTCTCCACTCTCTCGGTGACCAAACTCATGATAAGGAAGTGGAGAGAACGCATTGTTAAGAAGAAGAGTACCTCAAATGTTCAGAAATTAAGAAATTGAGAAGCTCAGTTGCATGCAGAACGACAGTGTTTCGACCTGACATTTTAAACTCTTCATAACATCAATTTCCATCTTAAATTAGAATAAACCTCCAACGTTAGAAATATGAGTACAAACAAATGCTTAGTAAAAGAATTAGCCAATTCTAATAGAATTGTTAATCAAACTATGAAAGCAACATATCACTAGAAGAAAAAAGTTCATCATCTATCACGGTGAATGCCCGTGATAAATTGCAATCCACCACGGACACTATGCCCGTTAGTATTCTGGATGTGATAAAAAGTCTAATTTTCGACCACGGGCTATGCCCGTTGTCAACTGCAATATGACCACGGATTGTACCCGTGGTAGATTGAGATCTAACACCACGTGCTATGACCGTTGTCGATTACTCATTAACCACAGCTAATGCCCGTGATAAATGGCAATCCACCACGGACACTATGCCCGTTAGTATTCTGGATGTGATTAAAAGTTTAATTTCTACCACGGGCTATGCCCGTTGTCAACTGCAATATAACCACGGATTGTACCCGTGGTAGATTGAGATCTAACATCACGTGCTATGACTGTTGTCGATTACTAATTAACCACAGCTAATGCCCGTTATAAATTATTTTCCAAAATTAAAAAAAATATCATTTAACAAATATATATATATATATATATCTGTATTTATATATTTTAGTATAGAATAACCAACAAAATTGCAGATTTACTACAATATAATAAGCACATAAAAAAATACTTGATAATATTATAACATATTTTAAAAATACTTGAGTTTCCAAATGAATACATAAACGGAAGTCATAAAGTATTATCCATGTAGTGCCTAATGAATACATAAACGGAAGTCATAAAAGTACTATCTATGTAGTGTCAAAGTACCATTTTCTAGTCTAAGTACGAACTAAAATTACTCTCCAACTCGGACGTACTTTGATGGCCAGGCAATTGTACTAGACACAGCATCCTCAAGGACACGAAATTCACTTGTAGGGCGGTACAAAGATATATTCTCCACTTTGACAACAGTTACCCAAACTTTCCAGCAATCAGGACCAAGCACCATGTGATGAACTTTCGCCTCAGGATTTGTTGATTCTATTTCTCCAGTTGCAACAACTTGTCCATTTCCGAGCCAATTTAGTAACTTGCATGAAGACCCTCGTAAAATACCAACGGGTTGTAACTAGCATAAAGAAATCAAATAAGAACATCAATTTTAAATGATTAAGTTATCAAACTATTTAACAATTATTATCAAGCATGTGTTTACTACCTGAGAAGTGGCTTTAGAACCTTCTTTTCTCTTAATGTTGTCTCTTTTTATGTTTGGACTACTTCTCTGTGACAACCAAACATGGAAGACACAAAATTCGATCAGTTTATATCAAAATCTCATAAGTTTCATAAGCTAACTATTTAGTACTTGTTCTCGTATACCTGGGAACTAGCTTTGGAAGCTTGTCTAGAAGCATCGTCAGCTTCTTGTGCACTTCTTCTATCACATTGTATCTAATAACAAAACAAAAACAATCTAATTATCAACATCTGCTATGTCTTATTATATTTCCACTGTGCTATACTTGGGATCATATATGTACCTGAGAACTAGCTTTTGAAGTGTGTCTAGAACCATCGTTAGCCTCTGGTGCACTTTTCTTATTACATTGTAACTGATAAAAAGATAAATGCAAATAATCAAAATCAAAAGAAACAACTAATAACAAGATAGATGCAAAGAAACTATTAGCTGCATAGACTAACTAAGCCTGAAAGTGAACATGTTCACTGTTTGCTTTCTATCTAATGATGAAGACATCGAGACAAGTTAAACAAAATCAGTTTCATACCTGGGGAAATGATCTGGAAACCTGGTAACTGGAATTGGGAACCTGTTTTACACCATTCTTAGTTCTTTGGAGATCTATACAGCCTCCCTGCGACTAGTGAATACGCAAGAAATAGAAGTTGATCAATTTCAGATTCAACAAAATACCAATATTTACTAATGACACATTTTTACCTGAGGCCTATTTGTGGAGACTTGAATTGCATCATTGGTATTAGTTTTTTTACCATTTCCCTGCAGCGATATGATTAGAAGTTAGAATATATTTTTTAGACCGTTATTGTTTTATTTGTACTCACTAAAAAACCAATCCAATGAGTCTTTTGTAACAAATATCTCCCTTTCCGATAAAAGATGTGGTTGCGAGGGTAAAGTTGGATGTATCAAGTATTGCTGACAAATATTCATCCAGTGTTGGTGGGTATTTACGGTGGAACCATTAGCTTCCCTCAAGTAAGCTCTAACTATATATACAAATTGATCATGCCGTAAATCTTTTATCATTTTATAAATATATACAAAGTTGCATATATAATTACCCCATTTTGTTGTTTAGCCAACATAGTCTGAAGGCAGCCGAGCAGCAGCAGAAACTAAAAAAGCGAACAACTTTGGCCTCAAAATTTATCTGAAAAAAATAATAAAATTAACAGGTAGGAGTGATAATGTTATTAATATGTGGGTTGTGTGTTGGTTTGTGTCTTTGAAACACCAAGAGGTCAAAAAATCGAAACAAAGTGGAAAATAAATCTTAAAAATTTTTAGCCAAAAACATCCTCTCTAGATAAAATTTAACGAAAAATTCATAAATTACAAAAAGTAAATCATTGGAAAAACAAAACGTATATGACAACGAATAAGGCACTTGCAGGCCTCTTAAGCTTGTTCGGATCCTTCGCAACCTCCTTGCTCGCATCTCCACGTTTACTGTTCAACCTATGAAAATCAGAAACCAACACCGACACACAAATAAAGATGAGATAAGTGGTTAATATCAAACAGAGCTTGGTGGTGATCTTTTCAAAAGTCAAGTTCGCAGTACAACTTTATATTTGTTTTCACTTACATTGATGATAAGTATAATCAAGACAGAGAAACTCATGAACCAGCCTGTCAAAATCATTGACGGAGAAATGATAAATAACGGATTCTCAAAGATACAGAAACATATCAAGAACTTGGACAATGAAGATACCCAAAAAAGGAATTTCTTAGACATGCAACCAACAGGTGTACAGAAAATTAAACAAAAATTCAAAATTGACGGTTCATATCGAGATCTTCAATCAAATCGCAAAAAGTTGTGAAAATTCATAACAAAACGGAAATAAAAAACATAATCTCACTTCGCATCAGTTTTTCTGTGAGCAACAACTCTTGATTTCCCCATGTTCAACTAAACCTTCATAGAAAACTGCAAAAAAAAACGATGAGAATCATTTATAAACGGCAACAAATCGATATTAACAAATAAAAAAGAAGTCGGAGAAAAAATAGAGAGAAAAAGTTAGCTAGGAGATGGAGCGGAGGAGATGTCGTCCAAAGTTGAGGAATAAGGATGGAGGAGTCTGGAAGAGGAGACAAAAAACTAAAGCAAAGCAAAAGCAGGGAAAGAGGAGATGGGTAAAGTGACACGCGTCCCAATCAACACGTGTCACTATGCTAAGCCGCCAGGTGACAAAATCAAAAGAAAGAAGTCTTCCGAACAAGTGAACTTTAACGAAAAACTTCCGGTACTGTTCACTTTAACGAAAAACCAAATTTTTACACTAAAAAGTCAATCCTGGTACTATTCACTTTACCCTTTATTTTGTCCTTATCATTAAAACTCAAAGTTTCCAAACCATTTTCATTAGTTTTCCTCCCGAACAACCCAGTTTTTCCGCTCCTTCAATTTCAGGCACAAACGAAATAAAAGAACCCCTGTTGCACAGCAGGGACAAAAATGTCATTCTACTGTAGAATGAACAGTGATGACAGAAACAAAGAAAGGGCAAAAAAAGAAGAACACTGGTGAATGAACAGTAAAAAGGACACAAAGGGAAATAACCACAATCTCCAGATCCGCAAAAAAATAAAAAACAGAAACAAAGAGCCCTAGAGATCAAAAAATAAAGATAAAACGTTGAAAACAAACTGACCTTCAAATTTTGATCCCAACGATGGCAAGATGAGAACAAAACGCTGACCAACAAAGGGTTCGACAACGGAGAAGACCGGAAACAAAACAGCCAATAAAATCAAACAAAGGGTCCAACACCGGAGAAGACCGGAAACCAAATCCCCAATAAAATTAAAGTCAAGATCTCTTTTGAGACTATTTTGCGAAGAAAGAGCAAAGATTTGGCAGCAAAAGAGGGAGCGATGAAAGAGAAAATTGCAGAGCAACGGAGATCAAAAAACGAAGAGAAAAGGTAATGTGAAAATGATGCGGTCAAAGCAGAGAAAGTTGGAATAAAAGAAACTAACTGAGGGCATTTCCGCCCTTTCACTGTTGGTGAACAGTGCTCCTACTCACATGATGAACAGTGATTTTGGAACTGGGCTTTAGTATATATGGATGTTGGTGAGGTTTGGAACATGGGGATTGATTTGAAGGACAGGTGCGATAGGTCCACGGTGGAGAAGATGGTGCACATATTGAGGGAAGACAGTGATCAAAGAGAGCAGATTTTCAAGTCAGTGGATAAGTTCGCTAAACTAGCTTTCTCACTCCCTCTTCTTCTTTCTCACTCCCTCTTTTTCAAGGCTAGCCGATATTCACCTCTTCCAGACTCTGCGTAAAACGGGAGCCTTGTGCACTGGGTACGAAGCTATATAACTGTAAATAAGACTTTGATTGAGAAGTGGAAATTCATGTGTCTGTAAGTCCAGCATATATGTTGACATTTAGCACACAACCAAACACATATTTAATGGGAGTGTGCCCGACAAATTTTTCACCCAGTTCAAATCGTATTGGGATAATTAAGAATTGGACTAACGGAGGAGCTTTCATAAGGGGCATAGGCTGGAAAAAAAAAAATAGTTGTGCACGTGGGCTTTTTTCTTACTTGAGAGGCTTTAGTTTTTGTCATTTTTTATTAAATTTCAGGCCTTTTACATTAAATAAAATTAGTGAATAGTTTTTTTATTAAAATGAACTTATTCCAAGTCATTTTCATTAAAGCTCCCAAAATAAAATGACGTTACTTCGATCATTAAAGCACCCTTCTGCTTGACACCCAAAATCTCAACGGGAAAGCCTCGACACCTTCACCGCTAACACCAACGGTAAGTCCTGAAATCGGAGTTCATCCATCTTCTACGAGTGAAGACGAAGGGCCACTTGGGTTGGACCCATAAGGAGCTGAAGACATGTTGAAAGCTCCAAAACGAGGGCGGCGAGTGGAAGACGACCAAGTGGTGCTGGTTGTGGGCAATAATGTTGACGACAAAGCCTCTAACACGAAGGGAACTCTCCCACGACTTCTCCCAAATCTCCGTCGAGAGAGTAGCTAGGGATTGTGTTCAAGGGATTGCAATTGGTGTTGCTGCGGTGGTGGTCTTAGATAAAGGAGTGGAATTTGTCGGCGACCTAGCCTTCCTTAGGATATGGCAGAGAAAGACAAAGAGAGAAGGATGAGAGAGGGAGTGGGTGGCGGAAGAGGAAAGAAAATACAGGTTTTGCAAAAGAGAAGAATCGAACCTTGGAGAAGAATATAGAATAAAAAATTATGATTCCATAATAAAAGAAAAGATAAAGAGTAATAGTTGTATAGTAAATAGATATCATAAATGTTGGATTATATGTTGAATGTTAGATTATGATTTCTTGTTAAACGTTGGATTATGATTTCTTGTAAAACATTGGATTATATGTTTAAGATAAAGTTTATAAATAATTTTCTTTTAAAAATAAAGTATATTTAGTAATTCATCTTTATTTGTTAAGAAAATTAAATTAATGACACATCTAGTATTATACTATTTTTGGTCATTTCACACATTCACAGTTATTTTACATAAAAGTTTACCAAACACTATAATACTATTTTTTTCCAAAAGCATTTTTACAAAAAAGTTTATCAAACACTCTGCTGCTTTATTTCACAGCTGCTTATTCTCACAACACAGTAGAAACTTTTTTTTTTTTTAAAGCACATAAATACCAAACCAGCCCATAGACTCTATCCGAAGATAGAATTACAGCATCAGTTGCTTTAATTGTGAACTTGAGATGGAGATGTAGCAACAAAATCAACTACACGTACTATTGTTCCCATTACAGGCACAAGGCCACGTTACTCCGATGCTCAACTTGGCACAGTTACTGTGCCACGTTGGCATCCACGTCACCTTTCTCAACACCGAACACATCCATTGTCGCCTCACCCAACGCCGTGCCCTGTCTACCCGCTTCCCAACCCTTCGTTTTGAGTCAATCCCTGACGACTCCCACCGGATCATCCACGCACCGTTCCCCCTATAATCGACATTATCTCGTCACTCAGACTCGTAACAAAGCCGCTTCCGCATGGCCTCCTGATCTCCTTAGCCAAAAAAGACGACGGGTTGTATGACTCTACTCGTCCTCCTTTGAATTGTGTGACAACAGATGGGGAATATGTGTTTCTCGGTTGATGTGGCGGAGGTGGGGATTCCCGTAATGGCTGTGCCAATCCTTAGTGTGTGTGGCTTCTGGTCTACTTCCTTTGGAGCAATGTCATGTGTCAATCAATTTGCCAATAAATATTGGAATTATACCATGCATGCATTATTACGTGTCGATCTTATAATTTTTGTCTGAAAAGTTTGCATTTGTTTCATTGATGGGCAATTTTTTTTTTATAAATATTTTAATACACCATGTTAATTAAAATTAGTGGCATAATGTTTGATGCAAAAAAATATGTGGCTGTTATACTTATAGAATAAAAACAAAAAGAGCCCTGCTGTACGTAGCAGAAAGTTGGAACCTACATTGCTGGCATAGAACATTTTAGGGTGGGGAAATATGTTATAAGACCTGCAATCCCATCCCCTCTTTCACTGTAGCTCAGCCTCTCCAAGATCTAGTGTTCACGACCAAATCCCATTAATAAAGAGAAATTTTAGCACAAGATTTTGTTGGAAAATTGTTTTCATTGGCCTTAGTTGAAGTGTAATTTTTTTTACTAGCTAGCTTGTGTTAGAAAGTAAACATCTATCACCATATCTCAAAATATAAAATTATAGATTGACCTAAATAAAAAAAAAAGTATCCAAATTACGCGGTCAATAGCTTAAAAAAAAAAGTACAATAAATTTGCAAATTAACACAAACATGACCCTTTTTTTACCGGATTACTGATCAATCTATTCCTTATTAACACCGCAAGTTAAGGCTCAACCTAAACAGTAAGTTTTTGTACTTATTACTGTCGTATTAACTGATCGTGCATGATTTCTCTAGATAGTACTTGTGTTGTATGTTAATTCAACCTTATAAGTCATACACATACACAAAAAGAAAATTGAAAAAGCAAATAAATAAATAAATAAAGCTCATTTTACTTACTTTGCTCAACACGTGAAGAAATGGATCAAAATGTGAGCGAGGTTCCAGGAATGGAAGGCCTTTTGCGACGAAGAGATCTACCAATTTTGTGCAGACTGCCAACATTATATGACCACCCTGTTTGTTCACATTCTTCATGGAAGAGACGTCCCAATCCCTTACTCGAGTTTCTGCTCTCATAATCAACACCTTCGACGACGTTGAAGCCTCTATACTCTCCCACATCGCCATTTGTTTTCCCCAAGTTTACACAATCGGACCTCTCCACGCTCTCCTCAAATCTCATGTCAGGAGCGACTTATCATCTTTGGCCACATCTTTGTGCTAAGAAGATCGTCGTTGCAACTTGCATGGCGTGGCTTGACTCCCAATGGCCAGGATTCATTATTTTTGGGGTAAACTGCCAATTTAGTCCCTAGATTATCACCTTAGTGAAAGTTAGGTCCTTAAACTATTTTTTCAGAAAAAATTAGTCCCTGAATTATAAAAATCTGCCAATTACATCCCTAATGTTATATTCGAAGCTACTATATTCAATTTTCCGTCAATTTAAGTCACATTACTTGCATGTGATACACATTGAAGGATAGATTGGTAGTTTTTCATAAAGAAATAGTGTATGGAGTTAACTTTGGAGGATAAATTGGTAGTTTTTCATAAATAAATAGTGTAAGTTAACTTTTGAGGGTAAATTAGACAAAATTCTCAACCTATATGAAATGTTAAGGGCTTATAGACAAGAAAATTATGGTATTACACTCTAAAGTGTGTCAAGTGACTTAAGTTGATGAAAAATAGGATAAAATAGTTTTGAATGTAATAATAGGGATGAAATTAGCAATTTCTAATGAATTTAGGGACTAATTTTATCAAAAAAATAACTCAGGGACTTACTTTTCACTGAGGTGATAGTTCAGAGACTAAATCGACACTTCACCCTTATTTTTGTCAGCTTTGCCAGCGTGGTGAAGCTAACACATGGCCAATTGTTAGAATTTTGGTATGGTTTGGTCAACAGTGGCAAGCAATTTCTATGGTCGGTGCGATCAGATATGCTTCGTGGTGAGCAAAGAGAGTTTGTTATTCCAGCAGAGCTTGAAGTTGGTACAAAAGAAAGAGGGTCTATAGTGGAATGGGTTCCACAAGAAGATGTCCTAGCCCACAAAGTTATGGTAGGGTTTTTGACCCACAGTGGGTGAACTCGACCCTTGAGGGAATTTGGGCGGGAGTTCCAATGCTTTGTTGGCCGCAACTGGCGGACCAGCCAGTGATTAGTAGATATGTTAGTGAGATTGGAAGATGGGGATTGATATGAAGGACAAGTGTGCTAGGTCCACGGTGGAAAAGATGGTGAGGACATTGATGGAAGACAGTGATCAAAGAGAGCAAATTTGCAAGTCAGTGGATAAATTTGCTAAACTGGCTCGTCATGCTGTGAGTGAAGGTGGTTCTTCATGTCAAAACTGGGAGAAGCTAATTCATGACCTAAGAAAATTGTAAAAAGGTCACATGGAGACTATGGCATTCTTGCTGTCATATTTCCCTTTAGATTGGTAGCTTGATTAACTGTCAATAACTGTATTATGTATTTAGAAACCTGTGTATTATGTGTTTCCCATTTATTCATAATAAATCAATATATGTTTGATTAAACTGATTAAACTAAAAGAAAGTGGGATATGCCAAGAACCAACTAGATGAGCTTTCTATAAATAAATAAAAAATGAATATTTCAGAAAAAAATATTGTAAGGATTATTGTGAGGAAGGAGAGACGGCGTAATTCCGGTGGAAGTTGAGGTGGGTCCTAATGAAACTGGACATAGAGGAATGGGCTCCACAAGAAAGAGGTTTTAGTCCATGTCACTGTTGGTGCGTTTGTTTTCTTATAATTGGAACCGCATGCAGTAGGGCTCTGAGGTCCAAACTTACTAATATTTCTTCTTGTCTTAATGGTGCTGTGCTATTCTATGAATGAAAGTTATGAAACTCAGTTTCCTACCCAAAAGATTTAATTGCCAATTGGAAATGAAGTCATCATGAGATCTTAAATCTATCTCTCCTCCTTTACATGTGGAAATGAATTCAAATTTAACAAAAAATTATTCACTTCAGTTTTATCAACACTACGCGAGCATGCTCCCATTAAGCTTGGTTAATTAGCAACTAAAAATCAAATCAACTAACAAGTTCAGTTTTGTTCGTTCCGGTTCAGTTTTAAGCAAAAATGAGCATGGCAACTGGAAAAATCTGATTCAATACTTTTGTATTGAGTTTAGATTTGAGTCGGGCAATATGAAGCCAATCTCTTCAAGTCTATCAATATAACTGTGAACACGAAAATTTCCTGAAACGAAAGAGACAAGAACAACGTGCACAAACAAATATTTGTATTTTGATGATTTTGGGTTACAATCTCTCTCTATTTTGATCCTCTGATTCGATCTCCGTAAGGTGTTGATTTATGGATGTTTCGTTGATCCAAGGGCCGTCGAGGCTTGATCTTGAATGAACTGTTGAAAGTTTCTTCAAGGGGCCGTGGGCTTGATCTTTGAAGGTGGATTTGAGCACATCTTCAAGGAGCCGTTGGGGCTTGATCTTGAGGATGAGTGTTTCTTCAAGGGCCGTTAAGGCTTGATCTTGAATAACGGTGATGAACGGATCTTCAAGGGCTTTTGGGCTTGATCTTGAAGAATGGTTGGATGTGTGGATTTGTTGATATTGTTGATCCAAGGATCGTCGGGGCTTGATCTTGGAAGAACGATGAACGAAGAACGAAGAACGCTTTCTTCAAGAGCCGTCGAGGCTTGATCTTGAGTTGGTGATTGTTGATCCAAGGGCCGTCGGGGCTTGATCTTGGAAGAACGATGAACGAAGAACAAAGAACACTTTCTTCAAGGGCCGTCAGGGCTTGATCTTGAATTGGTGATTGTTAATCCAAGGGTCGTCGGGGCTTGATCTTGGAAGAACGATGAACGAAGAACGAAGAACACTTCCTTCAAGGGCCGTCGGGGCTTGATCTTGAATTGGTGGATGATTGTTGATCCAAAGGGCCGTTGGGGCTTGATCTTGGAAGAACGATGAACGAAGAACGAAGAGAGCTTTCTTGATTCTTCGGGAACCTGGATGCTTGAGAGCTTCGGAGTTTCAGAGCTTCAGAGCTTCAAGAATTTTGCCTAATGATTTTTTTTTGGTTCCTCTAAATGAATGAATTAGCCTTCTATTTATAGAATTTTCCAAGGCCTAATTTTGAATATAATATTCCAGATGAAATAAGTCATTTCTGCCAGGTGTTGACACGTGTCCTATTTGATGACTTTTCCAACTTATTTCGATTTTTTGTTTAGACATACGCTACGTGTAGAATTTATGTAATACATGAGCGTCAAAACTTTGATTTATCTGTCAACATTTATTTACCGAAATTTCGATGTCTACAATAGCACATTAATATCTATATTGCATTTGCTTCCTTACGGTAAAGACTGCTGGGTAAAGGCATATGGGAGCTTGACTACATGACCCACCCGTCTAGCATGGACGAAAGTCAACCTTAGTGATCCGACAACGACAGTTTACAACATAGAGCAGCCCGGGACATCGGGCAAAGAGCTTCTCGATCATTTTTGGGATATAAAGATGGAGAAGCAACAACAGCAACCACACGTACTTGTATTGGTTCGTTTGTTTTTAATGTACTAATTTACAAATTTATTTGTAAATTGTTTGATGTATAAGGCATTGGGATAGCCTAGCCGTAAAGGTGTAATGCGTGAGTACATACTACATGTACACCTGTGAATTCGAAACAACCAAAAAAAGAATATTTGATGCAAGTGTATATCAACGGTTCTAAGGCTGCCAAGTATCAGTCGATTAAAAGACTAGAGCTGTTACAATGGCCACGGATCTGTTGTTCTCAAATTTGTGTCTCTGTCCATGTCTCTTTCTAATTTTTTGACAAGCGTCCTTTTGTTTAACTCTCAATCTAACAATGTCATGTTTAAAATTGTCAAAATATTAGAAAGAGACGAGACAAGTTTGGGGAGACAGCAGATTTGTTGTCTGTTAGAATTGCTGCTAGTTGTTGTAACAAGTGTTGTTAGAATTGTTAGCTGCCAAGTGTCAGTCGAGATTAAATACTAGAGCTGTTAGAATTGCTGTTGTTGTTATAACAAATGTTAAAATCGTTAGCTGCCAAAAACAGAATTCCTTTGTGAGCAAGAGATGTACCGACTATATAAGTGTAATCTTAGCTCATTAGAGATCAATGAAATACAGACCATTACTTTCTCTAACTAAAACTTTCTCTGTTTTCTCTGCACTCTCTCTCTCTCTCTCTCTCTCTCTCTCTCTCTCTCTCTCTCTCTCTCTCTCTCTCTCTCTCATCATTTCTGAACCTTCATCTCTCTTCATCTTCATAGGGTATACCTGTAACCTTATGCGTTTTTGCAGGGTAAGAGTTCCTTTTTTTTTTTTTTTTTTTTTGAGTTCAAGCAACTACATTTATTTTAGTTTCTTATATTAGCGATTAATGATTGTAATGCAAAGGGAAATATTTTATTCCTACATTTTAATCGTGCTAGATTGCTTGTTTTTGTTTCTTGTTGCATTGGAAGGTTGGGTTAAAGAAAATGTCTTCTTATAATTGAAATTGTCTCATTTGAAGGAAGTGGATTGTGTTGAGAATGAGTTTCACATTGATGGAATGATGGATCTTGTATGAGCTTATAAGAGATTGGGCTATTCCTTATATTGCCAATTGGTTTTATGATGAAACCTCAACTTTCTTCAGATTGATCTAAAACCTCATGCAAACATATTACCAATTGGTTTTATGATAGAACCTCAACTTTCTTCAGATTAATTAATCCAACTTTCTTGAGATTAATTGATCTAAACCTCATGCAAACATTTAGTCAAAGAGGCACTTACAAATCCTTCTTTTTCTGTTTTTAAATAATCAGCCAATAGCCTAACTCTTCATTGCTTGGACTTGTTCTTAATGGTGCTCGGTCCTTCATGGCCAGGTTTTGAAAGGTTATAGTTAAATACTTGCACGGTAACTTAGATGCTATACGGGCGCTGTATTGCGCATAGACTAGCACGGAGTGAATAGACAACGGCACAAGATATAATTCGGTTTGAAGAACCTCCAAATATTATTGTCGATCTCTTTCTAAAGAATTAGTCATATGTTGTAATATTTGTGCCGGCATTCTTTTTTCCTTTGACCAGATTGAATCACCAACAAAATTTAAATGAAACCACTTGATAATGCAACCTATCCTCTTGTACATATTTTCGATATTGCTAATGAATATCGTGCTTCTTCCTGTCTCACTATCAATAGGCCTATAATTAAGATTCAGAGAAGCTCTGCACTTTGCATGCACCAAATTTTCTGAACCGGGCAAACATACAGAGAATGGGTCGTGGGTAGATGTACGTGGATATGGAGCAACAACAACAAAATTCACACGTAGTATTGCTGCCCTTACCATCACAAGGGCACTTCACTCCCATGCTAAGTTTGGCACAGCTGCTCTGCCACGCTGGCATCCATGTCACCTTCCTCATCACCAAGCACAGCCACAGTCTCTTCACCCAGCGCGACGCCCTCTCTGCCCGCTTCCCAACCCTCCACTTCGAGTCTATCCCTGACGGCCTCCCACCGGACCACGGACGCAAATTTTCTGCCCTACACGAAGTGGGTGCGTCGCTTAGGTCCACAATTAAGCCGTTTCTGCGCGAACTGCTCATCTCCCTAACCAAAAAAGACGACGAGACGTCTAATGATGGCTCTACTCGCCGGCGGCTTCCTCCTTTGCGTTGTATGGTAATAGATGGGATATTTATGTGCTTTGCAATTGATGTGGCTGAGGAGGTGGGAATTCCCATATTTGCCCTTCGCACAACAAGCGCTTGCAGCTTCTGGTGTTATACATGCATTCCCGACCTCATTCAACAAGGCCAGCTTCCCTTCCAAGGTGATCACTGTCACTCTTCTTCCCGTTCTTTTCGTTCCTTATAAAACTTTAATTTCATAAAATTCTGATTTATATGTATCCTTTCAGAAAATTCTCATGGTGACTCTTTTCTTTCATTTTTTGTATTTTTCCTCAATGTTACGATTTACATGTCACTTTCTTAATTTGTATGCAAGCGAAACCTAAACTGTGAGGAAAAAAAAAATTGAACTAAGCTAAATAGGATACACCTTTAACAGAAAATAAAATTGGGTAGGAAGTATACTAATTTAGGCACAGGCCAGGAATTATTACTTTTTCATGGGTTATTTTTGTTTCGGTCCCTAATTAACCTAATTGTTAGAATGAACCCTTATTTGTTTAAATAGTTTGATCGACGTCCCTAACATTATTTAAGGGATTTAACTCCTACATTTATGCATTAAATATCCCACAAATTATGAAATTTAAACAAATTCAAATAATATTTTTACAATATAACAATTACTTAAAAATCAATAATAGAGTAATATTGTTCTTCACATAGTTCTAACAAAAAAATAATGTACCCACGTAATTATTAATATATTTTAAGAAATAACTATAGATATATTTTAAAACATAAAATAAATTCATATAATTAGCATGGGTACATTCACAAAAAAAAATATATGTGGGTACAAATTATGGGTACATATTAAAATTCAAAACTATGGGTACAAATTAAAACTAAAAAGAATATTGGTACAAATTTAAAAAGGGTATAAATTATAAATAGAAATATATGAAGAAAAAAAATACTAAAAAGATATATTTGGAAATGATTAATAAGTTTTTCATTTTTAAATTGACATACAATGACTTGTAAATAATTTTAAATTCTAGTAATGACATGGAGAAAAGTCAAGGGACCTTGATCAAAAATGAAAAAAAAAAAAGTTTCAATTAATGAGAAAGAAAAATGAGGGATGGTAATCTAGTTTGTCCTTTTTTTAATTAGTTTGACAATATTGTCGTAAACTAGTTTTCTGCTAAATGCTAAGATCATTTTCTCTTAGAACAAATATGTGAAACTGGTTTTCACTAGTTCAGATGTATTTTGTATTCTTGCTACTACAGTACCAGTTTTTGCTGAACACGATATATGCTTGTCATGTTAAAACAGATGAGGACATGGATCAGCCGATTAGGGATATTCCGGGGATGGAAAGTCTTTTGAGACGTCGAGATCTACCGAGTTTTTGCAAAATGCCAATCGACCATCCAACTTTTAAATTTTTCGTGGAGGAGTTTGAGGCCATTACTCGAGTTTCTGCTCTCATACTCAACACCTTCGATGACCTCGAGTCCCCAATACTCTCCCACATCGCCACTCGCTTTCCCAAAATTTACACCTTAGGCCCTTTCCATGCTCTTCTCAAATCTCGCATAGGAAACGATCTATCATCCTCCGCTTCCTCCTTGCGCCACCAAGACCGACGTTGCATGACTTGGCTCGACTCCCAACAATTGCGGTCCGTTATTTTCGTCAGCTTTGGGAGTTTGGTAAAGCTAACACGTGTCCAGTTACTTGAGTTTTGGCACGGTCTAATCGACAGTGGCAAACCCTTTCTGTGGGTAATACGGTCGGATATGCTTTGGAATGAGCAAGAAGCGCATGCAACTTCGGTAAAGTTAGAGGTTGGTACTAAAGAAAAGGGGTTTATAGCAGAGTGGGTCCCACAAGAAGAGGTACTGGCCCACAAAGCTATCGGAGGGTTTTTGACCCACAGCGGCTGGAACTCGACGATTGAGGGCATTTGGGCTGGAGTTCCAATGCTTTGTTGGCCTCAAATAGCAGACCAACCAGTGAATAGTAGATGGGTTGGTGAGGGTTGGAAGATCGGGCTCGATATGAAGGACACGTGTGATAGGTCTACGGTGGAGAAGATGGTAAGAGCATTGATGGAAGAAGGTGATCGAAGCGCGCAGATTTTCAAGTCGGTGGATACGTTTGCAAAGTTGGCTCGCCATGCAGTTAATGAAGATGGCTCTTCATATAAAAACCTAGAAAAACTTATTGAAGACGTAAAAAAATTGTGATCTGAAATCATTGTTAATATTGATGAGTTTGTTCTTTGAGAGGTTCACAAAATGCAGAAAAATAGAAAGATGGAGGGAGAGAGAGAGAGAGAAACTGTATTTGATTTCTTAATATCCAAGTTATGATTACAATGGTTGTTATATACTTTCTTACTTAGCTGATATTTTGCTAAACAACTAACTCTCTTCCCTTATACAACTAACTCTCCTCCTTATCTCAACTAACTTGTAACAACCTATAACAACTCACTCATTAATCTATTGACAAGTGTCATCTAGTTTGACCGTTGATCTTCTTTTCACTTGGATTAACCTCTTCACTTGGATCCTTACACCTCATCAATCGTATGCTCAAGAGAACTGAGCATAAGATTGCCACAGTGTTGTTCAAACAAGGGTGTTGACAAGCATTTTGTAAGTATATCTGCAGATTGCTCAGCAAAAGAAACATGGTGTACATTAAGATCTCCTCGAGTGACCCTTTATCTCACAACGTCATAATCTATCTCAACATGTTTAGACTTGGCATGAAAGACTAGATTTGTTGAGAGAGCTATTGCTGAGATTTTGTCACAATATATGACTGGAGGTATATGAATATCAACATGTAAATCACAAAACAACTGTCTAATCCAAGCTAGTTCTGCAGTTGTGATTGCTAAAACTCTGTACTCAGCTTCTGTGGAGGACCTTAAGACTATGTGCTACTTTTTTTATGCCCAAGAAATTGGATTTGAACCAAGATAGATAACAAAGCTTGAAGTGGACATTCTGTAATTTGGGTCACTTGCCCAATCTGCATCACTATAAGATTGAAGATGTATTAGTTCTGGTCTAAAGTGAATACCCAGAATTGAAGTGTCGTTGAGATATCTGATGATCCTTTTTACTACAATAACATGTGATTCCATAGGATTGTGCATGAATTGACATGCTTGATTTACTGAGAATGCAATATCTGGTCTTGTAAATGTGAGATATTGAAGAGCTCCAACAATACTTTTGTATTGATCAGGACTGTGATATGGCTTTCCATCATTCTTAAGCAATATGTGATATGGGAGACATGGAGTAGCACAAGGCTTACAATCTTGTAGATCAACCCTGTCAATCAATTCATTGATGTACTTTGTTTGTGACATAAATAACCCTTATGGTGTGTAACTAATCTGCAACCCCAAGAAATAATGCAGTTTCCCCAAATCTTTCATATCAAATTCAGCTGTAAGATCTGTAATTACACTCGAAATTAACTTAGAACTGCTACCAGTAAGTATCACATCATCAACATAGAGCAACATAATCACAATGCCTTTGGATGAATGTTGAACAAACAGAGAAGGATCAGCTTATGAAGCCTTAAATCCCAAACTGGTAAAAAACTTGTGACCCTGTCATTTTAGGCTCTAGGAGCCTGTTTAATGCCATATAGAGACTTGTATAACTTGCAAACATAGTTGGGAGGATGTGTTGAACTTTGAAATCCTATAGGCTATTCCATATACACCTCCTCTTGAAGAATTCCATGTAAAAATGCATTTTTCACATCCATTTCTCTAAGATGCCAATTGAACTGTGCAGCTAATGCTAGAATCAACCGGATAGTTGTAGGCTTTACCACATGACTAAAGATCTCTCCATAATCAATTCATTCTTGATTATAACCATTTGCCACTAATCTTGTTTTATACCTTGCAACAGACCCATCTGCATTTCTCTTAATCTTATATACTCATTTACAACCAACTAGATTCTTGTCAGGTGGTAATGGAACCAAATACCAAGTTTTCTGTGTATGTAAGACATTAATTTCTTCTATCATGGCCTCTTGCCATTCTGAGACTTTTGAAGATGCTTTGAAAGTTTTTGATTATGTGATAAATGGTTTAGAATAGCTTACAGAAGCTGAGAAAGCCTTTTTCCTGAAGATTCCATTTTTGGACCTTGTTTACATAGGATAAACATTCATAGGTATTGACAATACAACATGTAACTGCTCATGTTGAAAATCAGGATCCATAGGGATGGGATACTATGTAAGATAGTGAGGTTGTTGTACTATATTGGGACTCTGTGAAGGTGAGTGAATAGACTTTGAAGCACTAGATGCAAGTGTATTCAAGGAATCTTAAGCTCTAGATGCTGTCAAAGAATTTAAGGCACTAGATGAATGCAAAGTCAAGAACTTTGTGGTTTAAGATGTTGATGAATGATTATGAGATGCAGGTGATATTACTTGATTATTTAATGAAACAGATGATGTTGGAGGGCTTTGAGAATGCTCATGTATACTGTTAGATAATGATTGTGTGAATTTGGGTAATTGTGTAGCCTTAGAATATGGAAACGTTGTTTCATCAAACAAAACATGCCTAGGTATATATATTTTTTGTGTTGTAATATCCAGGCAAATAAAACCCTTATAATGACTTGCATAACCAAGGAAAACACAGGTTTTTGTTTTTGGTTGTAGCTTAGAGCTATTGTACGGTTTAAGTAGTGGAAAACATGCACAACCAAAAAATTTCAAATGATTAATGTCTGGAACTTGTCTAAATAACAACTGGTAATGGGATTTCATTTTTAAAGTAGCACATGGCATTCTATTGATCAAATATGTGGTTGCAGCACAAGCATGAAACCAAAATTTAGCAGGTAAACTTGCAGTTTGAAGCAATATGATTGCAGTTTCTACAACATGTCCATGTTTCCTTTCTGCCAATCCATTTTGTTCTGGGGTGTAGGGACAAGATTTTTGGTGTATCATGCCTTTTTGTGACAAGAAATGTTGAAACTTGGATCCTACATATTCACCCCCACCATCACTTTGTAAAATTTTTTGTTATGCAGAAAATTAAGTACTTAAGTAGGCATAAAAATGCACAAATGTTGCAAAAACTTCTTATTTATTATGCGAAGGAAAAACCCATGTATATCGAGTACATTCATCTATGAAGGTTACATAATACCTAAATCCTTCATGAGATAACAAGAGGGCAGGTCCCCATACATCACTATGTAAGACCTCTAGAGGTTGTATAGACTTAGTTGCAGGAAAATTAAACTGCAGCTTAGTAAACTTTCCTTCCAGACAAGGTTTATACATTGATTGACAAGTATTAAGTGATGCAGGGATGTTATTTTGATGTAGAATAGCAGAAGTAATGGCATTTGATGTATGTCCTAATATTCTAAGCCACATGCGTATATTAACAAGTTTTACTAGACAACATGTGTGCTTATATTAACAAGTTTTGCTAGACAATATGTGTTACTAGCAATAGATAATGTTGATGTACCATTATGAGAAATATGCAAACATGCACCACTTGTTGTGGTTATAGTGTCATTCCCTTGGTATGGAGCAACCAGATCCAAATTAGCTAACTCAGAGGTCATGTGGGAAGTAGCTCCAATGTCTGCAATCCTGAATTGTTGCTTAGGTGCAGAAGGTTAATGTTGAGCATGCATAGCAATAAGTGTTGGGGGAGGTGGTTTCCCTTGATATGCAAAGTTGCTTATGTGATAACATTGCAGAGCTAAATGTCCAAATTTCAAGCAAATTAGACATTGAATTGGTATAATGCTAGTAGACTGTGAGGAATTATGCCTTTGAAAACAATCAGCAGCAACATGACCTTTCTTGCTGCAGATTTGACAAATAGGGATCTCAAAAGTATGTTTTGCACAACTCGATTGATAGGGTTTTGGAGCACCAAGAATATCAGGGCTTCTATTTGGTGGAGGATTATAAAATCTTGGACCATAGTTATATGATCTGCCTCTTCCTTTTCCTCGGAAATTGTTCCCTTTGTATCCCTCATAGTTGTAAGACCCTTGATAAGAATTGTTGTAGTTTTGAAATGAACCATTCCCAGAGTTGTATATTGTGGTATTTGATCCACCAGCATGATTGTTGTGGAAGTTTGAACTAGACAATCCAGAACTATATCCTATTCCAGTAGGTTGTGATGTTTCTTGATAAAAAAAAAAAAAACCAATGATTTGCCCTTGTTCGATTGAGTACCAGCAACCATTACAATTCCAAATGGTAAAATAGAAGAGGATTTAAAGGACTGAACAATGATAGCTTCCTCCACAAGTAATTAAGATCGGAAATCCTTTAGAGATATTCCATTTTCTCTTCATCGTATAACACATCTAAAAGTGTTGAACTCTAAAAGAAGCCCTTTCAGCACAAGAATGATCACATCATCATCGTCAAACACTACTCATGCAGCTGCAAGATGATATCTTGCATCCTTGATCTTCTAGAGATAATCAAACACAGATTCAGGCCCTTTTTGATGTTTTGAAGTTCAGTTTTCATCTGAAAGATTGTAGCCTTAGTGATTGTAGGGAACCTTTCAGTAGATTTACCCACATCTCATGAGAGCTTTGATTGCCAATGATGGATGACATTGCTGTAGTAGACAATGTTGCAATCAACAGTTGCATAAGTGCACGATCATGCATTTTCCATACCAAGTAATCATCTTTTTCAACTTTTTCCATTTCATAATCATCAACAAATCTTGGAGGACATTTTCTTGATCCATCAATGAACCCCATTATGCCATGGCTTTCAAGAAGCAACTTGATCTGAAAACTCCAAGTAAGATAGTTAGAATCATCCAGTTTCATTGTAATCGAAGTAGAAACCGTGGAAATGAGGTTTGTAATCGAAGACTGGACAATTCTCAATTGGTCTGCAGTCACCATTGTTAAACTTTGAGAAGAAACTTTCATTGAGAATTTTGATCAAACACTTCGAAGGCAATCGAAGAAGAACATAATTATGAAGAACTCAGGGATAGGAGAAGACCCCAAAATTGTAAGATCACAACAGTTTGCAAAACAAAGGATTAGAGAAAGAAAAACATGCCTTTAATGGAGGTGCAGAAGTGCCAGTGCATTCCCCGGCGATGATACCATGTTAATATTGATGAGTTTGTTCTTTGAAAGGTTCACAGAATGCAGAAAAATAGAGAGAGAGAGAAACTGTATTTGATTTCTTAATAGCCAAGTTATGATTACAATGGTTGTTTTATATATATATATATATATATATATAACACTTTCTTACTTAGCTGATATTTTGCTAAACAACTAACTCTCCTCCCTTATACAATTAACTCTCCTCCTTATCTCAACTAACTTGTAACAACCTATGACAGCTCTCTCATTAATCTATTGACAAGTGTCATCTAGTTTGACCCTTGAACTTCTTTTCACTTGGATCCTTACAATCATGTGGTGTAAAAGTTCGGTTGCTGAAGTTTTATGTCTAGGGAAAGCTCTTGATCTATGTAAACATGTGTGCTATTTATGATTGCTTCATGAATTAAAATAAATAAATAAATAACTCAGCTTATGTCAAAGCTTAAAACTTTGTTGTAGACCCAAGCGCAAGTAAGTTGGCCAAAGTCACATCCTCTTTCTTTGACAGTTTGACACTTATATGCGACTCCATCTTCTTATGGTAAGGTTAGATTTTGCTCAATTAGAATAAATAAAGTCATCATGATCTTAAAGTCAGGTATATATGACTATATATATATATATATATGATTAGAGTAGTTTACAATGGAAGGGCTATCTTTATATTAGAATGTGTGTTAAAAAGTGTATTGCATGTTCAAATAACGTTGTTTATAAGTGAACAAGATTCAAGATTGATAGAGAATAAACACAAACAATGTGACATGAAAGAAATACTAGAAAAGAAAATTCTCATCTTTTTATAAAGAGGATTCTCTCTCTCGAAATTTCATCAAATATGCCTTAAGCACTATAGAGATATTTTCACATCGCCATCCTTCTCCAAGGTCCAACCATTCAATTTTGGCCTATAAATACGGCTATCCGCCCCATCTTTCTTAATTTCACAGCATTGAAAAGTTACATATACTTAGCTAGCCCTGTTTCTTTTTCCAATTACCAAAACTCATTACATACAAAGATATCATGTCACTCATTCCTAGTAACATCTTTGTTGGTCACTACGATCCTTTCTGCCACAATGTTTGGGACCCATTTGAGGAATTTCACTATGGAGGCCCAATGATCATCCCACACCATGCTTTCCCAAGTGAAGCAACCTCCTTGGTGACCTCAATGACCGACTGGAAGGAGACCTCAGATGGGCACTTAGTACTCAAGGCACATCTTCCGGGGTTCAAGAGGGAAGAAGTGAAGGTGGATGTGGAAGAAGGTAGGGTTCTTAGTATTAGGGGCGAGAAAAAGGTGGAGAGAGAAGAAAATCACGACGGTTGGCACCGTTTCGAGAGGAGCAGTGGCAAGTTCATTAGGCGTTTGAGGTTGCCTGAGAATGCCAAGGCCGAGAAGATGAAGGTGTTCGTGGAAAATGGAATGCTCACTGTCACGGTTCCTAAGGAGAATGTGGTTAAGTACCATCCTCATACCAGAATGCACTAGAATTATGCTGTATGTATATTGTAACTTTAATTAGTCCGGGAAGCTGGGGGTGGCCGGCTGCTTCCCCTTCACTTGTGTGTGTCTTACCTAAGCAAATAAGGTGCATGACACCAATGTAGCTTTGGTTCCATGTAATGAAACAATAATTTAATTAGTCCTAGCCACAAAATTAATGTGTGAGAGTGTTCTTTTCTAACTTAATTTTAATTAGTTCCCCTCTGTGCACCTAATCCTCCTGTACGTGTTTGATCCAATGTTTAATGAATATCCTACTTTTTTTCACAAAATTTTTGTATTTGATCACTTAGTAAAAATTAATATATCGTTTGTTGATAAGAGTTCATGTAGTTAGTTTTATCCAAATACTTGTGCAAACCTATCTGCTGTCATCTGTTTGTAAAGTAGGAAAGACTTTTTAGTATGATGGGAATACGGTCCGATACATCAAGTGTAATAATATAATTAGTTGAAAAAATTCAAATTTCTAACTAATTGTATTATTATACTTAGTGTACCGAGCCATGTTCTCAGCACACTTGAAAAATTTCTCGTAGAGTACAAGTAGCATCTATCCCTTATGTATTTAAAAGGAGTTGTATCGTTCATCGTTGTACAGATCAATGAAAAGCATAAGTTTACAGGATTCATAGAGTTAATGGAATTATTAAGAACCAAATATTATATGGCTATTGACATGCTACTGATACGTGTCCTAATATCATTACTTCGTACACCTACAACAATTCTCAACGATAATTTTGCAAGGATTAGCATCTATTCTAATCAATTCTTTTGATTTTGTAAAAGGCCAACGAGATAAAATTTTGAGAGAGCGAACCCAGTTTATGTAAAGAAGACGTGCATGTTGAAGAGCACTTTTTGGTAACTCACTGCTTGTATATGTCTTTATCAATCCTGAATCTTGCAAGCTATAAATTAAGATTGCATGCTTAGACCTAGACCTGTAAACGGGTCGGGTTTATTGGGTTTGGGTCGGGTTCAACCCGACCCGTTAAGTTAACGGGTCACCCGAACCCAACCCGTTAAGCTAACGGGTCACCCGAACCCAACCCGTTAAGCTAACGGGTCACCCGTTTCACCCGCTAACACCCGTTAACAATTATTATTATTATTTTTTTTTGCATAAAGTTTATTTTTTGTTATTAAGACTTTACTAAAATTACTAAAATATCCTCAACTAACGGGTGCTAACGGGTGTTAACGGGTCCTAACGGGTCTAACGGGTTGACCCAAAGTGACCCGTTATTTAAAGGGTTGTTAACGGGTTCACCCGTTAGCGACCCGACCCGTTAAGCATCCACCCAAATACAAATATTAACGGGTTGGGTCGGGTCGGGTTAACGGGTTGGGTCCAAAATGCCAGGCCTACTTAGACCTACTCCAACGCTGGGCTAAATGCCAAATATTTAGCCCAAAATTTCCCCCAAACACCCCCCAACCCAAGCTAAAATATTGGGCTAAAAGGGGAATGCTAAAATTGGGCCAAATTCCCCCCCCCAGCCGCGTGGACTCGCCCAGTTTTGGGCCACTCTCGGCCCGTGGACTCTCGCACGCGCCCCACGCCCACAGCTTGCAACCGGAGCCCGACAAGAGGGGGTCCCACCGTCAGGCCTTGTCGGCCACTCTTCAAAGCCCCAACGGCTCTTTTCGAAATCAAACGGGCAGGATTTAAGGACCGTTGGTTGATCCAATGGTCCAGATTCAAACTTTATTTTTAAAAAATATATTATTTTAAAATACATTGAATCTAACGGTTGAGATTGAATATACTCAAATCTAACGGTAAAAAAAAAAGAACTAACGGCCCAAATTTAAATCCAACGGCTAAAATAATTAAATAAATTTATTTAACACAAAATTTACCCAAAAAATCTATAAATACCTATCTATTTGTTCAAACATCCACACAAAATTCAATTTTCTCCTACAATTCTTCCAATTTATCTTTCTATCATTTCTTTCCATTTCCAAATTGTTCAACATGGCAAGAGAGCATGTTAGAGGTCGTAATTGGACCTTTGAGGAAGATGTTTCTTTATGCTTGGCATGGGTGTCTATTAGTGAAGATGGTGCAGTTGGCACAAATCAAAATAAAAAGGTTTTGTGGGATAAAATCATTGCAAAGTTTCAAGAAAACTGCAACGGCAGCGGGCGAGACGGTGGTGGTGTTTATGATCGGTGGAAGACTATCAACAAAGCATGCACTTTATGGAAGGGAAGCTTAGAGAGAGCCATGGTTGGCATGCCTAGTGGAAGGAGCGCCATAGAAATTGTGAGTTTTTTTCTTGATATTTTATTTGTCATGTACATAATATTATTTTGCAACTAATTATTTTTATGTATTTTTTGCATAGGGTGACAAAACAATGGAAATTTACAAGACAAGAGTAACACCAAAAAATCAAGTTTTTAAGTTGCAACATGCTTGGGACGTCCTCAAGGATTGTCCAAGGTGGGCAACCGATGCAGACCAACAATGGGGAAGATTATTTCAACGTGAAGCCGCACCGAGAAATGAAGGTGGCGATGAAGGTGTCGATGAAATGACCCCATCTCCTTCTTTAGCAAGGCCCCCGGGAAGAGATAAGCAAAAGGAAGCAAAGAGAAAAGGGAAGTCCCAAGATTCCCCGAGTGGAGACTTTGCTATCGGAATTGCAAAATTGCATGAAACTCATAGCGCTCGCCAAGAAGAAGCGGCCCGATTGCATTTGCAAATGAAGGAAATCTCGGATAGGGAGGAAAATAGGTTTGAAATTGAATTCATGATGAAGGACCTCAGCAAATACACTCCAGAGAGGAAGCAGTTCTTACGTAATAAGCAAAAGGAAATTATGCGAAAGTCTGCCTCAAGGCGTATGTTTCAAGATGATGAATCCTCTAAACCCTATATCCCAACATTTCAACGAAGTCCATCACCAAGTGAAGATGGTGGATATGATTGTTAAGTTTATGTAGTGTATGAATTATGTGCTTTATTAATTAAGTTTATTAATTGTCGTTTGTATTAAGTTTATGTTGTTTATTATGTTGTTTATTATGTGGTTTATTAATTCGCCATGGTGCTCATATTGCATAAACGAGTTTACAAGTTCAGCTTCGGCGTTGATCAGTTCTAAATCCTCAATGTCAAGCCTTGCTTGGTATTGTGCCATCTCCATTGCCCTGCTACGCCTTCTTCTATCACTCATTGATGAGATATTGAGAATTTTTAGGAAACAAAAAACTCTTTGAAAGTTGAAAGATTGGTGAATATAGAGGATGATTGAAGGTTGAAAGATTGTGTGATCAACTAATATTGGACCTGTGTTTATATAGAGGATGATTGATGAACGGTTGGTGAAAGTTGAAAATTTTGTGTTGAACGGTTGGTGAAAGTTGAAAGTTTGGTGTTGAAAGTTGAAAGTTTGGTGTTGAATGGTTGGTGAAAGTTGAAAGTTTGGAGTTGAACGGTTGGTGAAAGATGAACGGTTGGTGAAAGTTGAAAGGTTGGTGAAAGTAGTTTGCTTTGTAAAAAATTTAATGATTTTTCAATATTTATCGGAATTTAATTTTTTTTAGATTAAAATGTTCATAAAATTAATTTACAATAATCTACATATTTATTTTTAAAAAAAAATATTGATTTAAGAAAAAAATTAGCCTAAGTTCATTCTTTAATAATTCCGGGCTAAAATTTTAGGCCAGAAGGGTTGGAGCAGAAAAGATGTTTCTGGGCTAAAAGCCAAATTTTCCGGGCTAAAAAATTTGGCTTTTAGCCCAAGGGTTGGAGATGGTCTTAGAGTGCACAATAAAAAATTTCTAAATTAAACGAAATCTTAATAGTCTCCTAATATGAGAGTTTGGCACAGATCGAGGGCTAAAATTATTCTTAACAAAATCATGATCATAACGCAATGGGCACGTACGATTACATTGTGTCCAATCAATTCTCTCTTAATTAAGGAATCTCAACGTGGGCATGAGATCTTATAAATACAAATTTCTTAATACTTACCAAAAAAAATAATTATTATAACTGCAGCTGTTCTTCTATTGAAACCCCAAGGTAGTTGTATGCAAGTTTTTTATTTCAACAAAACTGTATGTAAGTTTTATTTTCGATATTCGGGAGTCAAAAACTCATTAATGCATTTTGAATTACTTGGTTTAATAGATCTTGAATTTTAATGATTTTTTTTTTCCATTTCAGCAATTTATGAAAGAATGAATCAAGGAAAAACCTATATGAATACCGGCTACAAGAAAAGACCTCATGATGGCTGAGAGTACTAGTAGTGCATGTGACTAAGGACTTGGTGCCAAATCATGAAACATGCCGATATGTTTATATTCTATAATTGCATACCTTTTAAAAGGCTTAGAAAGCTTTAATATTAGTTTTGGTATGGCAGCTTTCGTGCCACGAAATTGCTTGGAAACAGATCATACCATACTATACTAATAGCACAGCTGCACATGTATGAAAAATTATGGATCCTGTCGAAGCGCACCTCGTCGCAGTTTTGAATCATGTACACTCGTAGGACAACTAGTTTTGTAAAAGTTAATTGAGTCTCAATGTAAAGCAAATTTGGAGAATCAAATTTGCCATGCATGAACATTACTTGCTCACCAAAGTTCTTAGAAGCAGCCAACCGTCTCCTGCTCCAATGTTGAATCTGAATACAGGTTTTTTTGCTAATACATGTGTCGAGACCACAAGGCTTTGCTTTCTTTGTGTTTGATGTCTTTTTCGGTTTTGCTTCATTATGACAAACTCAATGCTACTTATTTTGATGTTAATAACTTAACGAAAGTTTAGTACATCCACTTTTTGGATCTCCTTTTCATTCTTCAATGTAATATAATAATTTAATTATCTATTTTTAAGTTACTCCTTAAAGATAACTCGATAAAAAATAAATCAAATTATAAATCTTTTAGTAATCTGTGAGTTATCCAATAAATAGACGAACAATGTTATTCATTTAAACATTGAAATTTTCACAACATTAATTCATTGGTAACTAATTTGGTCAATTTTTGGCAAACTTGATCCTTAAAGGGTGAATTATAAAATAGACAGTTTTGACAATCAAGCAACATAGAACAAGAAGATTCGGACAAGAAGATTAGTAGCATCCCCTTTGTTGAAAAATAAATATAATCTAGAGCGGCCAGTTGTTGTCCCTCAGCCATTGTAATCACCTCCAAATTAAGTCCCAACAACATTGTTTTCAACACCTGTCTTGTCTGTAATCTATATAACACCAAAACCTACCAGAAAACCTTGCAATGCCCAAATCGCAAGCAAGGAAAGGATGGAGCATATGATGAACATGAACATGCAGATGAGCTTCCACTGGGGCAAGGAGGCTACAATCTTATTCAAAGGCTGGCCTAATGAAAGCACTGCCATGTACATATTGGCTTTACTTTTGTTGTTTGTGCTAGCCTTTGCTATGGAAACTTTGTCTGCCTGGCCTAATGTCAAACCTAGCATGAACCCAATTGTGGCGGGTCTCGCTCAGGCCTCCGTTTACGCTGTTCGAATTGGGATGGGGTACTTGGTCATGCTCGCAGTCATGTCATTCAACGCCAGAATCTTCATAGTAGCGGTGGCAGGCCACACCTTCGGGTACTTTATAGTCAAGGCCATAACTCTTGCTGTTGCCAAACCAGCTGCTTCCCCACCCTAGTGGAAATTTGATTTTGTTTATACCTACTTGATGATCAGATATAGTTTTACCTTTTGTCAATGAAACAATATTACCTTTAATATTCAAGAAAATAGTTTTGTGTACTTCCAAGTCGTCCATTTATCCGAAAATAGAGCTTTGATTCATCATTTGTAAGGCTAATTAAGCAACAGTAAAGGAGGATCTGTCATGTATTGCAAGGATCTATAAGTTTTCACGTAAGTCTATACTGTACAACATCTTCTCCTCCAAACGATCAATCATGAAAATGTTTTCACAGAGAAAAAAAGTTGAGAGGTACTATTTAAAGATCTAATGGTCGTAGTTGTCTCTACTTGGTTAGAACAGGTCAAGCTTTGACTCACGATGATGCGATAATGATCTATATATTGTGAACTGACCACTAGAACCGAGACAAGTGCATCTACAGTTCTTTGTTCATGGAACCTAGCTAGAAATTCATGCCCAGATCCTTGAATTTATCCATACCCTAATCCGTGATTCAAAACTAATTAACTATAAAATCAGAACAATGTTATATTGTTTATTAAAAGTTTACAAAAACACAGCACTAGCACTGCTGCACTGCACTAGGCGGCAGAATAGTGTTATCGACAAGCTGTATTGTTAAGCTATTAGATTCCCCTGGTCCTGTATTGTTTGGTGGGTCAATTCCTTATTAGTTCCTTCACCATTTATTATATCTCTCATTTTCTTTGTACATTCACTCCACTTTCTAATTACAAATCAATCTTCTTATTTCCTTCTCCAATATAAATTTAATGGACCAATAATGCTCGCTCTCTGCCCAAATATAAGGTTATATTGTCAGGTTGTGAATATGAACGGCATGTAATAAAGAATATATTTTTACGGTTTTGAAAAATTGATGTTCTAAACTGTTGATGACTGAGATTTGAACTCAAATGCACAAAGACAAACACATGTTCTAACTGACCTAACTCACATCTATCTCCGACGGTTGAAAATTGAGAGAGGCGTGTGAAAAGTAAAAATAAGTGTAACACAACCAAAAGAATTTGAGCAATCAGAAGCCCACTCGCCTCTCAAACCTGCTTTCCAGCTCCTCCATTGAGAAATGGACGACATGCCAAATATGGCTCCTCCACCCAAGGGCGACCGGACGAACACAACTTATGGTGCCATGGTGATGAGCAGCAGCCTCACATGGGCAAAGATGTCATCATCCTCTTCCACGACGGGCCCAACAACCACCTCAACATGTATGTCTTGGCTCTCTTCTTCATCTACCTCCTCGCTGTCACCGTCGATATATTGTTCGTTTTGCCCAAACACCGACCAAGCACCAAACCCTACCTATCCCTCCTCGGCCAGACCAGCGTCCACACTTTTCGAAATGGTTTGGCTTACCTGATCATGATCTCTGCCATGTCATTCAATATCGGAATCCTCATGGCCGCCCTGGGGCAGCCATGGCGTAGGTTTCTTCATCGTTAAGGTTCGCGATCATGCCCACCTCCCCGACTAACCCGAACCGAAAATTTGATTTATCTTCTTCTTGTTGGTCAATGCTTGGGTTCGCTTCTATCTTTTTTTTTGGGTTGGTGGGTTTGTATAATGTTATGAGTGCGCTGCTTCTTGTTGTGGTTGCTTTTTTGGCCTAAGATTTGATTTGAGCTCGTTGGGTTGCGTTAGCTAGTCAGCTTGTGGTTCAATTGGACTAATATTTGTATTGCATAAATTTATGTTCAAATGAAGTAATAGTTGAACTAACTTTTGGCAACTTGGTGTATCATGACGACTGTATAAACTGAAGAATACTAACAGTAACAGCAACCGTTCGTGATTGGTGAGGTACACTCCTGGAGCTCAGTCTGTACCTTGATGATTGCTTTTGATGCTGTAAAAACCAAGATCGGTTCATCGTCAACGATTTTTGGAGCTCTTCAGAAGAACAAAATCATGAAAGATGCTAATCTCCACTGTTTGATAGTATAGAAAGAAGAATGATTTAACGTTGTATCTGGACTCTTCTATTCACTCTATCGTCGACAATTGTATACACCTGACTCTTCCTCTAGAACCCGTCTCTAATTATTTGAGACGTTGATTACAAAATCGTACATCCTGGCCGCCCAAGAGCTGCAAGTAGTCGTTTAGGCCACAAAAAAGACAACCAGGACGATCTAGGTACATCCTCTGCAGTTTCATGAGATTCGTCTGAATTATCTCCGTCGGAATCCTCCCTATCATCATTCTTGGGGTTCTCAACTGCAGGCTGATCTCCATCTTCAGTTCCAGCCTCTGCAATTTCCCCTGGCTTCTTGTCAAATAGCCCCTTGAATTGTTTCCGCACCTTCTTCTCAACTTCCTGATTATTAATGGCGAGACAAAGACAATCGCATAAATAATTTTTACTCCACCTCTCAAATCATAACCAAATTGTTGCTGATCAACTCACCTGTTCTTTCTGCTTAACTTTTTGAAGAGCAGCTGTAGCATCAGCTTCAGTTGACTTGTCTAGTTTAATCATCTAAAAGCATCGGAAGAGATTCGAAAATGAATAACAAGAATTTAATTATCAAAAATATCACTGAATTATTTATAAGCGTTACCTTGTTGAAGTCACTCTTTGCTTCCTCGAAATCTCCAAGAGTCATGTAGGCCATACCTCGACGGTAAAGAGCCTTGACGTGTCCAGGGTTTGCTTCTAAAACCTAGAAGTTCCATCGGGGGAACACATTACAAACCAAAGTGAAAGAATCAACTTCAGACTACATTACCAATTATCCAGACCCCTTATCTTTTAATATGTAAGTATCAATACATACCTTGTTGCATGTCTCGATGGATTTTCTGCATTCTCCCATCTTCAGGAAGCATGCGGCGACATTCAGATGTAACAGATTCTTAAACATCCAAACAAAAAAAGAACAATTTATCAGTCCTCGACATATAGTTACCAAACATACAGGTTGTGCAACTGGACTTCAGAGAATGTGAAGCAAAGATGTTCAGTATTACAAGACTCGAGAATAAAACAATTACAGCTTACTAATCCCATCTAGGTAAAATTTAAATAGAGAATAAGACACCCAAAGGAGAAATACAAGAAGCAAGTGGTTACCCTTGTATTGGCAAATATTTTCCCCTCTTCATCATCTTGTGGATTAACATGATTAAATTCCCGAAGCACCTGTATAGAAGCCATCCAACAGATATGATCATATGACAATAAGGTCACAATGGACACATTTTTTTCATGGCTTAGAGCAGACAGTAGAGATTATGATTTCACAGGATGTAGTATTATCATCCATTCATAAAAGTGAAATAAACTCAGTTATACTGAAACATGGAACTGAGAACGGCAGTTAGGTTCCAGAAATACGACTCTCAAATCACAAGATAAACTGTGGCTGAACAGTGAACACAAATCGGTTTTGTAACAAGCAGCAGTTTACTTGCAACAACAACAACAACAAAGCCTTTTCCCACTAAGTGGGGTCTGCTATATGAATCCTAGAACGCCATTGCGCTCGGTTTTGTGTCATGTCCTCCGTTAGATCCAAGTACTCAAGTCTTTTCTTAGGGTCTCTTCCAAAGTTTTCCTAGGTCTTCCTCTACCCCTTCCGCCCTGAACCTCTGTCCCGTAGTCACATTTTCGAACCGGAGCGTCAGTAGACCTTCTTTGCACATGTCCAAACCACCGGAACCGATTTTCTCTCATATTTCCTTCAATTTTGGCTACTCCTACTTTACCTCGGATATCCTCATTCCCAATCTTATCCTTTCTCGTGTGCCCATACATCCCACGAAGCATCCTCATCTCCGCTACACCCCATTTTGTGTACGTGTTGATGCTTCACCGCCCAACATTCTGTGCCATACAACATCGCTGGCCTTATTGCCGTCCTATAAAATTTTCCCTTGAGCTTCAGTGGCCTACGACGGTCACACAACACGCCGGATGCACTCTTACACTTCATCCATCCAGCTTGTATTCTATGGTTGAGATCTCCATCTAATTCTCCGTTCTCTTGCAAGATAGATCCTAGGTAGCGAAAACGGTCACTTTTTGTGATCTTCGCTAAAATTGCTCCGGTCATTAGTGTGGATAAGTATATAAATGGATAGAGATAGGAAAGCAAACACAAAAATGTACGTGGTTCACCCAGATTGGCTACGTCCACGGAATAGAGGAGTTCTCATTAATTGTGAAGGGTTTACACAAGTACATAGGTTCAAGCTCTCCTTTAGTGAGTACAAGTGAATGATTTAGTACAAATGACATTAGGAAATATTGTGGGAGAATGATCTCGTAACCACGAAACTTCTAAGTACCGGAGTGTGGTATCGTCTTGACTTGCCTTATCTGTCTCATAGGTAGATGTGGCATCTTCTCTGGAAGTACTCTTCCTCCATCCAGGGGTGGTATCTGTTAACTGGTGGAGATGCACAAGGTAATGTATCAATTTCACTTGAAGCTTACTTGTAAGTTTCAGGCTTGGTCAAGCGCGATACAAACCATGTAGTAGGAGTCCCCCAAGTCGCCGAGCTAGGGGGGATCTGCTGAAAGAGGTGACAGACAAGGTAAGCAATCAGAGCTCCGGCTGATTGTTCACATTCTCCCTATCTTGCAGGCAGCATGAAGGATAAAGAGAAGAAAAAAAATGAGAAGAGATGATATGGGATACTTTTGCTTTTGAAGAAGTAACTTTCCACAGGCTTATTCTTGAACTGGGCTGGAGGGTTTTCTGGTTTCCTCCAGAGTATAAGGCCGACTGAAGAATTTGAGGGTCAAAACAAGTCCATCAAATCTAGAGTACGTTCGACCCTGCTGATATGGGATACTTTTGCTTTTGACAGAGTAATGGATGTATCGGCACGTGTGCTGTTACGCTTGTCTCCACATGCTTCCTTGTATCCTTCTCACTTGCCCTATCTGTTCCTCAGGCAGATGCGGTATCTTCCCTGGAAGCATAAGATGTTGAAGATGAGTACTCGAGAGCAATGCCAGGTAAGTAATCAGGTAAGGGGTTCCAGGCAGTCAGTTCCTGGCTGGAAGCTTGATTCCAAGTGCTGACTGATTGCTCTCTTTCTCCTTGTCTTGCAGGTAAGA